CAGCGCATTTTATGGAGGACGAGGACTGTTTCCTGGGAGAGTATAGCCTACAATGCCGGTGTCTGTTTCTATAAAGTGGGACAATTCCAACTTTGCAAGGACAGTCTGGCGCTTCATGACTCACAGTCTGTAAGTAGCCTACGTTTTTTTTATTTAAAGAATTTGCCACTGACAATTCAAACGCGAGTTTTGAGCAGTGTAGAGTAGCGCTTGGAGACATGGTTTTATGTTTACGCAGCGCGATACGCAACGCAACACGTAAAAAGACAGTATAAGTAATTATAATCAGTAATTATGTCCCCACTGGATGCAACAAATGCCTCGTTTGTAATGGGTTTTACTGGTTTTGTCTCGTCGCGCATCACCAGCGCACAGGCGCTCGTCGCACACACGGCATCACGGTATGGTAAGGGGCGTAACATTTCTGCCACACGCTTGAGGTATTCGGCCAATCACAACGCACTGGATTGCTGGCCAATCAGAGCACACCTCGCTTTTCAGACCGATGAGCTTTGTAAAAATCGGCGCGTTTCAGAAAGGCGGGGCATAGAGGAGAAACAATAATGTACATTATGTGGAAAATAATGTGTTTTTTGAACCTTAAACAGCATAAACACATTGCATTACACCAAATACACAAAATAATGTTCTTTTTAGCAACATCATATGACCCCTTTAAATAATATTTTTATTCAGTAAGGACATATTTAATTGATCAAAAGTAAAAGTAAAGACTGTTACAAGACTTTCTATTTCAAATAAATTTGTTTGAACTTTTCATTCATTGAAGAATCTTGAAATAAAAATGCATCACAGATTTGACCAAATAATAAGCAATGCAACTGTTTTTAACCTGATGAGATAATAATAAGAAATGTTACTTGAGCACCACATTAGCATATTGCAATGATTTCTGGAGGATCATGTGACACTGAAGACTGCTTTGCCAACACAAATGTCTTTTTATAATATATTAAAAGAGTGAGAGAAAAAAACAACATTATTTTAAATTGTAATATTCACAATATTACTATTTTGCTATTTTTGATCAACTAAATGCAGCCTTGGTGAGTATAAGAATCTTCTTTCAAAATCATAAAAAAAAAATCGTACAGATATTTACAGAAAATATCTCGATATTTGAACAGTAATGTATCTTTTAAAAGTACTGTTTTTTATTGCACCTTTTAATAAATGATTATAGGTTAGCCTAGTTTGAGTTACCTTAAGTATTGTCTGTTATTGTAGTATGATTACGATGAATGATTTACATTCAGATGGCTTCTTTCTAAGTTGACGTAGACAAAAGTCTGACTGCCTTGTGTTCATTTCCTCATTTCATCAATCTGCAACTTTTTCCCTTTTCTTTTTCTTTTACCTGTTGCTGTGAGTTAGATCAATGAACTGAACAAGAGAATGTCTGCCATTGAGAGTCTCTTAAATCGACTGGAAGAGAAAATTACTTTGCCTCCTGATCAGGTATGATTAAAGTCTCAAAACAGAAACACTTTTTTTATTCCAGAACATCTTATTAGGCTATAGCAGAGCTGCCCTTTGTACTAAAAAGTTTGGGCTAAAGGTTTCATGTAGGCCATTCTCATGATTTTAATATTAAGTACTTATTTTGTATGTTTGTAGCCTGTCCAGCCCACAGCAGGGCAGATGGAGGAGGAGAAGCTGAGGAGAAAACTAGATGAGCTGATGAGTGACAAGGCACTTTCCTCTGACGAAGATGAGCCGAAGAGGCCTCCTCAGTCCAAAGGATCCGCTGTGAGGGGAGACCAGGCACCAGTGGTCCCTGCATCCCAAGAACCCCTGAGCTCGTCCAGTGATGAGATGCCCACTGAAGCACAAAAGGTGAGGACTCCATAGAGGCCAAAAAAATGCTGTCTTTGTCCAAGGTAAGGTTTTCCTGATAAAATATATTTTAAAGTTTTTCTGTAGAACAATTAATGCAGATTGAGGTATCTCAATATCAGAGTACTAGTGGAATACAAGTGGGTTTTAAAAGTCACGCAACTTACCACAAGCTTCCCATATTATCCTTAACATATATTATAGCATGCCAGAGCACAATTACTTTATTAATAATCTTAAAAAGCTGAGTTTTCAATAGCATCTTTATTAGCATAGCCTAAGAAACAGCTGAAAGAAGTAAGTAGTTTCCCTGGGTTATTTTCGTAACTAATCATTGTCTTATCTAAAGACCATGAAGCATTAGCAACACTTACGCCTCATTTAGCTATAACCTTAGCCATGTAAAATAAAATTTTAGGGATTTTTAATGCTGATTAGGCTTCTCTCGGTTAATTGCTTTCAGAGATCCACCGCGGCGGCCCTATGCGACATCACAACTGAGATTCTAAGAACAATTAATGCCACAGAAAGCGCTATGAACGAGTTGGCCCCCTCAAATCCTAATGACAGACTTCAGTTAGCGGGCACAGATCTTAAGCAGGCTGATGATGCATACAGGGAACTTGAGGAAAATGTAAGCTTGTCCCTCTAATAGATATTATGTTTGTGTGGAGGAGAGAGATTAGACACTTGGAATATCAATGGCATAAACAAGCGGTTTTATATCATCGAAGTGTATAAGATATTTGTTCAGAACTCTAATTTCTTTCTTATTACTGCAGGTGTACATGACTGCAGGGAAGTCCTTCGATATGGCGAAAAAGTTGCAAATGATTGAGCAGAATACCAAGAATCACTACGGAGGCCCATTAACTGATTCAGAGCTCTCTGAACTGGAGGACCAGGTTGCTTTGGCAGCTGCCAAAGTTCAGAGCACAGAAAGTGATGTGAGCTACTATCTATCTATCTATCTATCTATCTATCTGTCTGTCTGCCTGCCTGCCTGCCTGCCTATCTATCTATCTATCTATCTATCTATCTATCTATACTGAACAAAATTTAGAGTGGCCTTTTATTGTGGCCAGCCTAAGGCACACCTGTGCAATAATCATGCTGTCTAATCAACATCTTGATATGCCACACCTGTGAGGTGGATGGATTATCTCGGCAAAGGAGAAGTGTTCACTAACACAGATTTAGACAGATTTGTGAACAATATTTGAGAAAAATAGGCCTTTTGTGTACATAGAAAAAGTCTTAGATCTTTGAGTTCAGCTCATGAAAAATGGGGGCAAAAACAAAAAGTGTTGCATTTATAATTTTGTTCAGTGTATCTATCTATCTAGCTATCTATCTGTATTTATTTATTTATTTATCTTATCAGGTCTCAGACATTGAGAGCAAGATAGCCGATCTAAGTGCTAAAGGATTATCATTTGATAAAGCCAAGAAAAAGGTGACTGAACAAATAATATATTATTTGAATATTTTCCCAGTTTTCTTGCAGATTTGAACTAATTGTATGTTTTTGTTAATATTTTCTTTCAGGCACTGAGTATACAACAAAAAAGGAAGTTTTCTCAAGACAGAGTACACTTTTAAGTGTAAAGGACATCATGCTAACTTCTTTAACATTTGACATATTCCCTATGTCATGATATCTGTGCCTATATTACTTGACACTTGATATCGGTGCCTTCTTCATCATATGTTCAAGGTTTTTGACACTGATCTTGACTTAATACTAGTAAACCCTTTGTCTTGTCTAAATTGCGCAACTTGATCAAATACCAATCTAGCAAAAATCAATATTAGTCAAAATAATGAAATAGTTTATAGAAAATAGGTGTCTAACAAAAATTCATGCCAAGAAAAATAGGATTAATATTTGTTAATGTCTTACTTTCCCTTGCCTGTTTTGTTCTTCAAATTGCTTTTCCAAAGATTTTAATAATTAACTTGGGATGTTAAATATTTTTCTTTAGTCCATTGGTAGTCTTTTTGGAGGTACACTAAAGATGTAATTTTATCAAGCTATAAATGTTAAATTATTAAACATCTAACACCCAATTGTACCCTTAGAAAATGCTTAGATGCTTTTCCTGCTTGAAGGAAGAAAAAAGGAAAGAAGATATTAAACTACTCCAAGCTGGCTTGCTGCTTGTCACCCAGTCTGTTGGCTAGTTTTAAACAACAGCTTGGTGAGGCTGGGAGACCATCTTTTTTCAGCAGGGTTTTAGTCTTCTAGTGAACATTAGTAGATGCTTTATTATAGATAATGCAACCCAAGGACTCTATTATTATGCATGAAGAAAGCGAACCATTAGCATTCTTATAGAATCTCTCATTCAAAGCGGTGAAGTGATGCAGTGAAATGCAGCAGACAAGGAAAAGTTCATTTCAGGCACCCTTACAAGAAGGGGATAATTGTTGGATGCTAACGAGCCAAAACTTATTCCCCCTTGCTGCATTCACTTTCCCCTTGGGGCCGATTGTCGAGGACTGTGCTGCCCTCTAGAGGATACATAAACAAGGCTACGTTTAATCCTACAGTGTATACTACAACATGAACCTTGTAGTTGGGAATATTTTATTCTTCCTGTAGCCTAATTAAATTGACCAGACTTAAAATTATTATATTATAGTCAGAATTATGAGATTACGTTACTAGACTGAATAAAGTGTTAAAACACAGCAAATGAAACAATAAAATTCATATTTTTGAGGTTCAAAAATATAACACACACAGATAGGCCTATATAAACGGTGTATACAACGTTTTATCACCATAGGGGGCTCTTTTTACAACGACCATGAAAATTATGGCATGAAACGATGCACCAGTAGCAACATAAATTGTAGTTGTCTAATAAAGCCTCTTGATGGAGCTAATGCACCAGCCCAGACAACAGTGCGGTACGACGTTCCATCTAATCAAATAGGAACAGGCTATGGTGCAGTAGAGATAGATAGATAGATATATAGATAGATAGATAGATAGATGGATAGATGGATGGATGGATGGATGAAAAAAAAAAAGATTTTGCGAACTTGCCCTAAAATGAAACAAGACGGAAATAATTAAAATGTAAAGGTCAGGTCCCGCCCACATGCCCCGCCCACTTTTCGCGCAGCGTCCAGCAAAGACTGAAATCAGACCGTGTGGCATTGGGCTGCTGTGTATTCTCATCCTAGGGCCGCTCATCATCCGGGTTCGATTTGCCCTAGAAACAAATGCAGCTCTGGACCGATGACTTTATTCTTCATTCGTTTGGTTTGACGTACCGAATTTACGTAGGAAGGAATATTAAGGGATGACCGGCTATATTCTCAGGAGTGCCTACGGTCTATCGTGCTCATGGCGAATCAGCAAACTCTCATCTTCTATCCTATCCGTGATGTTTTGACATATCGATGTGTCGTTTGAATGTGCAACAGGCTCCCGCCATATGTTCATGCGTTTTATGGAGACGATGGGGGATCAAAGGGAGGATGTGTCCTAGTGCTCTACATATTTTTGCTTGTGGTTACAATATAACCATTTATTAATGTTGTTCACTTTGAATGGTGCTCTTTGACATATACACAACTCGACAGCACTTCAGTTTGGCGAGGTCATTTTTTGTAGAGGTTTGTGTCAGAGTATAAGGGAATTTAAAATGGCAACGCAAGTAACGGGGAGGAAAAGAATTCCCAACCGGGAGAAACTATCTGCGGAGGATGATGCTCTCAGTCAAATAGCTCGCGACACCCACTATTAAACTCACCACCCCTCTTACAGGATGAATCAGTCCCTAAAGAGTAGAATAAACTCTACATCCTCAAATGTTTTCCTTTCTTTTTGTTCTGCTTTCTCACGGAAACTGCACAATCAGCCATAATGCCAAAGGGAGAAATGAGTCCAAGTAAAAGGAATAGTTCAATCAAAAATGTTAATTTTGCCTTTATTTATTACATTATTTTACATCGTGCCATTCCAAATTCATACAACTTTTATTCTTATGTTTAACATCAAAGGTGAGTTATTGAAATACATACTGGGCACTATTTTCAATATAATGAAAGCTCAACAGACCCCACATAATTACCATAAAAGTAATATTAAAGTTGGCCATGTTGATTTGTGCACTATTTTCCAATCACAGGCAGAAATTTAAGTTTTCATTTGCTGAAAACCATCACATCCACCCTGCTTGTCCAATTCATGAATGACTGAATCGATTATGCACTTCGGTTCAAGCTGCTTTCTGGCTCTAAAATGATTTAAGAATGCAGACAAGTCTGATCTTTTCAGTGATTCACTTGATCCAATTCACAAAACCTGAACAATTTGTTCACTAGACTGATCTGTGCTCCATTTCCCCCCAAAATTGTAAGCCTAAGTAGACCATAGAAACCACTGGTGCCAATGGTTTCTACGATCTGCTTAGGCTTACAATGATTTTGGAACATGCAGACTCAATGATCCAGTTGCAACAGCACCCTTGAGACTATCAGTGATTTGCATTTGAAGCTACCTGTCCACAGTCATTATACGTAATTGATGAAAAAAGTGTAGAAAATAAAATTCTACAGGTTTAGAAATATTGTTTGGGTGAACTAATCTTTTAAACATATACCTTAACTTCGTATTTAACAGGAGAGGCACAGTCACATAGCAGTCTATTAGACTGCTCTGTTAAGGCATGAAGTAGGTGTGCAGTGTGATATGGGGTCATTAAGATGCTGGGCCAGTCAGACAGCTGTGTAGCACTTACAAGTTTTATCTGTAATGAGTGTAATCAACATCTCTGCCAGCTGAGCTGTTTTTATACACCACACATTAGGGAACAGCCATGCCAAGGAAATACATTACAGAACAGCCAATCTCTGTAGAAACTTGACCACCTTTCTTTCCTCTGTTTGTTTCAATGTGATCAGAATGGAGCTTTAGTTTTTGCCATGGCAATCATGTGAAAGTCTTTCCATAGTCTTTCCCACACATTTTATAGTTAATTCAATGTTTTTATTTAGCTTAACAATGTTGTAATGTGTTAATAGACTTCTTGGCTTCTTTGCAGTATGTGTCTCAGCTGCTCACTCTTTTGTTTTAATGTACAGTGATGCTTTGGTCTGTTCATTACATTACAGTCTGTAAAATGGTACGAACTAGCATGGGGAGGATGTTTGGCTCAAAGGTCCTTTATTGGGCCCTGGGGAGAGGGGACCACCAAAAAAAATTGGGCTCTGTGACTTATAGAAACAACTGTACCTGTAGCTAATGCCTAATTGAACAAATCAACCAGTTCAGAAACAAAACTGTTTTTTTTTTCTGGAAAATTTCTGTACAGATTTTATTGACATTTCTCAAGTGTCTTTTGAGATATTAAAGAAATTCAAAGCCCACATGCTACGTCATCTGCTGGAATGCCACTTTCTCATGAACATGCAACAGTTAACAGAAGTTAGAGATTACGGTTTATAAAGTTTTAAATATGGATTTTATTTTTACACAAACCAATTGATTCACTTCAGAAGGCCTTTATTAACCCCCCTTTATTAACCACTATTCAATATAACTCTGATTGTATTCGTCTGAAAGAGGAAAGTCATATACACCGACTTGGGAGTGAGTAAATCATGGGGTAATTTTCATTTTTGGGCGAACTATCCCTTTAAGAACAATGTGAATGTACTTTTAAATTGTAACATAAATGAATGATTTCACTCAATTAACCTTAATTTTTAATGAAAGGTTAAGAAGTTAAGAAAACTAATTAATGGAATTATTAAATAAACTCATAAATTACAATAAGTATTACATTAAAAATAATAACACTAGTAACAATGCCACTTGGGGCCTTCTTTATCAATTTTGAGGGCCCATCTGTAACGGGGCGAACGAGAAGTGAGACGTGCGGATCCACTTCTCGGACTAGACTATGAAAACTAGAACTGGCTCCGTAGAGTAGCTATCGCTAGGAGAGTGGTAAATGCTATATAATACTCGGCGATTTGAAAGAGGAAGTCTTATAAAGTGTCTTAGATTGGTTACAGCTGTGTGTGTCATTAGTGCAATGGATGCTGGGAAATGTAGTCCGTGGTGACATGTGGAAGTCTGTCAAGTGTAACAGTCAATATAATGGAAGAGCGATCTCTGGTGGCAAGCGGATGGAAGTCCATGGGCAGGATTCATGACAGAGCCCCCCACAAGAAACAGACAGAGCATATATGGTCTCAAGGACTGAGGCAGGGAACACAAAAAGTTCATCAACAGGCTCACTGACTGGAACTGAACAGGCAGACTGTTCAACATTGGAATCATTGGTAAAGACTGGTTGAGTAGGCAGTTCACAACTAGACTCATAGATTGAAACTGGACTGGTAGACATTTTATAATCAAAATCAGTAACTGAAACAGGACTGACAGAAAGTTCAGACATATTATTCAAAATTGGGCAAACAGATAGATCGAAGTCAAGAGCATTGATAATAACTGGACAGGCTGACATGTCACACACAGGCTCATTAGTAGAAACTGGACAGATGGATGGTTCAACATTTTGATGATTTTGACTTGATGATTAAATCAGGACCGACAGATAGTTCAAATTCAGACTCTACAGAAGCATTAGGACAGACAGACAACTCAGGTTTAGATTCCTTGACAGAAACAGGCAAGACAGACAGTTCACAATCAGCCACCAAGGCTGGTTCAGCACAGGGCGAGAGTTTAGAGATGGCCTCCTCGGCCGGTTCAGAGCAGGACAAAAGTTCATAAATGGCCTCCGTAGCCTTGACAGAATTAAATTCAATTCAATTCAAGTTTATTTGTATAGCGCTTTTCACGATACAAATCGTTTCAAAGCAACTTTACAGCAAATTAAGTTTCTACAATATTTAGTGGTAGCTTATCAGTGGTGACTGTCAGTTAATGTACATATGGCAGAAATGTACGGAAAAATCAATTAAAGACGTAATCAAACAGATGATGAACACTATTAACAGCAATTATTATATGATGCAATCAAACTTATAGCAAAATGTGGTAGTTCTGTATGTTGTTTCAGGGTTGGCATCATCTGAGGACAGAACAAGCAAAGAGTTCACAGACGGCCTCCATAGCCATGACAGAACAGGCAGTGAGTTCACAAACGGCCTGCATAGCCGTGAGAGGACAGGCAGAGAGATCATAGACGGCCTCCATAGCCGTGACAGGACAGGCAGAGAGTTCACAGATGGGCTCCATAGCCATGA